TTAAATTATTTTAATTATTTAAATTATTTAATGGGAGTCAATTAAATAATATAAATAATTTAAATAATTTTTGCTTATTTAAACTATTTTAATTATTTAAATTATTTAATAGGGGTCAATTAAATAATTTAAATAATTTAAATAAATTAAATAATTTAAATAAATTTAATTCAGGAAACTTTCCAGACCAGCCAGAAATTATTTAAATTATAGAATTTCTTTAATAGGGGTCAATTAAATAAATTAAATAATTTAAATAATTTTGCTTATTTAAATTATTTAAATTACTTTAATGATTTAATGGGAGGCAATTAAATAAATTCAATAATTTAAATAATTTTGCTTATTTAAATTATTTTAATTATTTAAATTATTTAATGGGAGGCAATTAAATAAATTAAATAATTTAAATAATTTTTGCTTCTTTAAATTATTTTAATTATTTAAATTATTTAATAGGGGTCAATTAATTAATTTAAATAATTTAAATAAATTAAATAATTTAAATAAATTTAATTCAGGAAACTTTCCAGACCAGCCAGAAAAAATCAATTAAATAATTTAAATCCCGCAGTTTAATTAAATCATTTAATTGAGCTGTCGGATTTAAATTATTTAGTTGTTTTGCTGGTTGGTCTGGAAAGTTACCGGAATTAAATTTATTTAAATTATTTAAACTATTTAAAATATTTAAATTATTTAATAGGGGTCAATTAAATAAATTAAATAATTTAAATAATTTTGCTTATTTAAATTATTGAAATTATTTAAATTATTTAATAGGGGTCAATTAAATAAATTAAATAATTTAATTAATTTTGCTTAACTTAATTATTTAAATTTTTTAAATTATTTAATCGGGATCAATTAAATAAATTAAATAATTTAAATAATTTTGCTTATTTAAATTATTTTAATTATTTAAATTATTTAATGGGAGGCAATTAAATAAATTAAATAATTTAAGTAATTTTGCTTATTTAAATTATTTAAATTATTTAAATTATTTAAATTATTTAAATTATTTAAATTATTTAATGGGAGTCAATTAAATAATTTAAATAATTTAAATAATTTAATTTAATTTCACTTATTAAAACAAAGGAAGGAGCTAAATAGACCCGAAAGGTTGCTCTCTCATATATATATATAGATATATATATGCATAAGGGGTTCAGGGTTTAGGGTTTAGGGTTTAGACTCCGCTAGAATCCTAGACCCTGAACCCGAAGCCCTGAGAGGGCTTTAGGGCTTTAGGGGCGGTCTAGGATGTGGAGGAGGCATGGATTTAGGGTTTAGGCTCCAGGGCCTGGGATTCGAGGGTTGGCTTTGGTTCGACTCCACGAGGTTGGGGTTTAGGGTTTGGGGTTTAGGATTTAGGGTTTAGGGTTTAGGGTTTAGGAGGGTTTAGGTTTAGTGCTCTAGGTATCAGGGTTTAGGGTTTAAGGTTTAGGGTTCAGTTTTTTTTTTAATGCTTTCAATGACAAGCCTGCGTCCTGGCCTTTGCCGGAGGCGACAGGGAGAAGCGACACCGGCGCGTGACAAACTGCGAGGCCCCCTCAACTGCACCCTCAACCCTAAGCCCTGTACCCTAAACCCTCCTCAAACAAAGCTTGAAAAGGGTGATATAGGGATTGTATATGTGGCTCCGACTTCCACCAGCCCGAACCCCTAAGCCCAAACCCTAAACCCCCCTAAACCCTTCACCTTAAACCCTAAACCCTAAACCCTAAACCCTAAACCCTAAACCCTAAACCCTAAACCCTAAACCCTAAACCCTAAACCCTAAACCGACCCTAAACCCTAAACCCTAGCTCCTAGCTCCTGAGGTTCTGTGGCCTAAAGTGCCCTAAAACCTGTGCCCTAAACCCTAGCCCGCGGAGGCACAGAAGATCCCGCAGCATTTTGCTCCTATCCGACCACCGCACCTCGCGGCCGGGCCTCCCTACAAAGCTTGGGTTTGAGGTTTAGGGTCCCACGGGTTTCAGTATTTGTGTAGGGTTTAGGGTTTAGGGTTTAGGGTTAGGGTTTAGGGTTTAGGGTTTAGGGTTTAGGGTTTAGGGTTTAGGGTTTAGGGTTTAGGGTTTAGGGTTTAGGGTTTAGGGTTTAGGGTTTAGGGTTAGGTTTAGGGTTTAGGGTTTAGGGTTTAGGGTTTAGGGTTTAGGGTTTAGGGTTTAGGGTTTAGGGTTTAGGGTGCAGGGTTCAGGGTTTAGGGTTTAGGGTTTGCTGGAAGTTCTGAAGGTTCAGGAGGCGTCTTGATGAGGGCAGGTTAGGGTTTAGGGTTTAGGGTTTAGGGTTTAGGGTTTAGGGTTTAGGGTTTAGGGTTTAGGGTTTAGGGTTTAGGGTTTAGGGTTTAGGGTTTAGGGTTTATGGGTTTAGGGTTTAGGGTTTAGGGTTTAGGGTTTAGGGTTTAGGGTTTAGGGTTTAGGGTTTAGGGTTTAGGGTTTAGGGTTTAGGGTTTAGGGTTTAGGGTTTAGGGTTTCGGGATTCGGGTTTCGGGTTTCGGGTTTCGGGTTTCGGGTTAAGGTTCGTTGTAGGTCCGTATAGCGCCCTCGAACCCCGAAACCCTAAGCCCAAAAGTCCTTAATTCCTGAAATCCCAAACTTTTAATTGAACCTCAAGCCTAAACCCTTTAATCCCCAAGAATCCCAAACCCTAAACACCCTGAACCCTCCCCCCTCGCCCCCTTCTCCCCAACCCCAAACGCTTAAGCCCTCAACCCCTGCACCCTAACCCTAAACCCTAAACCCTAAACCCTAAACCCTAAACCCTAAACCCTAAACCCTAAACCCTAAACCCTAAACCCTAAACCCTAAAAACCCCACACTGTCTCAGGGTGCCACAATCGAGCCGCAAAAGTTTCCCGACGGAAGCAAGCTGGTGCTGTCGGCCGACTGCGGTGGCACGACTACCAGGCCTGACTGTTTGAGGGCTCAGAGTTTCAGGGTTCTAGCCTTCAGGCCCTAAACCCTAAACCCTAAACCCTAAACCCTATTCCCTAAACCCTATTCCCTAAACCCTAAACCCTAAACCCTAAACCCTAAACCCTAAACCCTAAACCCAAGGCGCATCTCACCCCAAGGCCCGGCCTGAGCGCATGGACTGGGATGTTCGACTTCTCCGCGACTTTGCGTCATGTTCGGGCTTCGGAGCAGGCATAAGTTGCATGACCATATGTTCTGTATGTATTTGGATACAAATACACAATAAACCATATCATAGCATATCATCTCAGATATGGCACAATATCGCATGATACAATATCATGACATTGCAGATACAAAGATGGGTGTGCTGTTATATATTTGTTCGGGCTCGGGGACAGGGTTCGGACGCAAGTTCGACATTTGTTGTTTGTGTGTGTGTGTGTGTGTGTGGTTCGTTGAAAGGGTCAGGGTTTGGGGTTAGGGGCCAACCTCGACTTCGGGTTTAGGGTTTAGGGTTTGGGGTTTGGGGTTTAGGGTTTGGGGTGTAGGGGCTAGGGGTTCAGGGGTGAAGGCCTCATCACGCATCACCCTAAGCCCCACACCCTACCCCCTACAAGTTGTTGAAGCCACCCGTGGAAAATTCCCTAATCCCTACACCCCAAAGGCCCCAAGCCCGAAAGCCTACTCCCCCAAAAAGCCCCTGGTCCAGACTCATGTTGTATGCCGTGGACTGGAGCGAGCCCGTACCACCAAAGCAGAAGGCAGGCGGGCTTGAGGGTTTAGGGTTTAGGGTGTAGGGTTTAGGGTTTAGGGTTTAGAGTTTAGGGTTGGGGAGGCTTGGTGAAGCTGGATCGTGTCAGCAATACAGGTATAGCATGATCATGTTGTTGGTCATGATACTGATAGTAGTCGTGGTGTTCGTGAGAATGGTATTATCACAAGATTGAGCCATCGCACCAGCGATGGCATGTTTGGCAGGTACATGGCAATGATGACGATCATGGCGGTAGTAAGGGTAGGCATACCCGAGTGACACAAGATCAGCAAACAACCAGATTAAAAGTACATTTATCTACCCTATCCATAGGCATACATGCCCATCCTTCGGTTCTTACTTACGGACATGTGTACACCATCCATGCATACGTGCATGCCTACTTACATACTTTCTTGCGCGCGCGCGCACATGTCTCTACTTATACACGTCTACTTTTCCTCACAAGGCGTTAGCGCGAAACCAAGAGGCAAAGCAAGTAAGTGTTCAAGTCTGCCCGGCACTCTTCATGATACTTGCTGCTTTAGGGTTTCGGGTTCAGGGTTGCGGGTTTAGGGTTTAGGGTTTAGGGCATAGTTCTTCGGTTATCAGACGGAGGCTACATCGAAGAACTTTTGGTTTATGTTAGCATGGTTGAGAAAAGTTTTTAGGTCGTGCCCAGATCTTTTCGCAGTCCTCTTTTTTGGAAGTATCTTGACTTTGGGCTAAGGCGGTTGTAAGATGGGTCATTTGCAATCCGTGCAGGAGTTTGCTACGAATGCTCACATGAAATACGCTGAGCTTCCACCTTTATGGTATCTTTGGATGCTTTCCAATATGTGAGTTCTATTTGAGCCTTCGAGACCCCATGCGTAATATTTCCCTCCCTCTCATTCCCAACTACGTGGCTTCATAAATTCTTCGTGAGAAGAGTTCCATCACAAAAGTGAATGCGTCCGTCATTGTTCATCGGAATCGTCACACACGTGGGGCCTATTCAAGTTTAAACCAGACCGCTGAGAAGCTCCTTCTGTGAAGCTCGGAGGCTCGTGAATCCTTTTTTGTTGCCTGCGAAGAAAGGATAGTACCATCAGCACAGTAGACAGCATCGTAGCCCATCGCGAATACAGAATTATAGATACAGAAACGGGGATAAAAAAGGACATCCCAAACCCTAAGCCCTAAACCCTAAACACTAAATCCTATACCCTAAACCCTAAACCCTCAACCCGAAACCCGAAACCCTAACCCTAAACCTTAAACCCTAAACTCTAAACCCTAAACCCTAAACCCCAATCCATAAGCCCTGGCCACTTCAGGCCCCAGGCACGTTGATTCGGGAAGAGAAGTACCCCAACATTGCCTTCAAGTCGCTCACGGACAGACTGTTCGGGGGGGGGGGGGGGGGTTGTGTTTTTTAGGGTTTAGGGTTTGGGGTTTTGGGTTTGGGGTTTAAGGTTTAGGGTTTAGGGTTTATTGTTTAGGGGCTTAAGGTATGAGGCCCCAATGGCAGGTGGATCAGAGAGCGGGCGGACACTGGGGGGTATTCTTCAAAACGCTTCGGCAGAATTTGCCTGGCAGCGTTGGCGTTCTCCGGATCTTGACCCTCCAGACTACATGGGGTTTAGCGTTTAGGGTTTAGGGTTTAGGGTTTAGGGTTTTAGGGTCTGTCAGGGTCCCCTTCGGAACCCGACCTCATAGAAGACGACGAATTTGGAGTTTTGCCTGGTTCTGTTGCTTTCATGCTTGTACAAACCCCTAACGTCTAACTAAACCCTAAAACGTTAAAACCCTGAACCCTAAGCCCTAAGCCCTAAACCCTAAACCCTAAGCCCTAAGCCCTAAACCCTAAACCCTAAGCCCTAAACCCTAAACTTTCAGAGGACATCATCCGCACCTTCCTCTTCACCGACTGTGCCCTTCCGGAGGGCTCCTACCCCACGGTGCGCGGGGGTCGGGTTTGGGGTGCAGAAGGGGGCCCTACCCTGAAGGTTTAGGGTTTAGGGTTTCGGGTTTAGGGTTTAGGGTTTAGGGTGTAGGGGCCACACCCTAAGCCTAAGCATAAAACGCCCTAAATTTCAATGCCGACCCTGCACCGGCTTGTGAACCACCTGCCCATCACGCTTGGGGCTGCGGCTCGAGGCCGGTTTAGGGTTCAGGGTTTGCGGTTTAAGGGGGTATGAGTTTAGGGCGTGGTGGCTTTAAGCCCCAAAACCTAACCCTAAACCCTAAACCCTAAACCCGAAACCCTCAACCCTCAACCCTCAACCCTCAACCCTCAACCCTCAACCCTCAACCCTAAACCCTAAACCCTAAACCCTAAGCCCTAAACCCGAAACCCGAAGCCCGAAACCCTGAACTCCGATCCGCATAGGTGGCCGTGCTGGCGGTGGCGGGGGTGGTCCTGAACAATGCGTCAGGAATCCTAGCGCGGCCACGATGGGGAATTGCTATAGTTTAGGGTTTTTGGTAAACAAGGGTGTGGGGTTTAGGGTTGAGGGTTTAGGGTTTAGGGTTTTTGGTGAGCAGGGCTTAGGGTTCAGGGTTCAGTGATTAGGGTTAGGGTAACACAGGAGCCGAAATAAGTTCCACCCTCCTCCGCTTGTCATCTCCACACGCTCTACCCTCGTTAAATGAGCATACTACATTCCATTGTCGGGTTCCTGATAGAAAGTCGGACACACCCTAAACCATGAACCCTAAACCCTGAACCCTGAACCCTAAACCCTGAACCCTAAACCCTAAACCCTAAACCTAAACCCCAAACCCTAAACCCTAAACCCTAAACCCTAAACCCTAAACCCTGAACCCTAAACCCTGAACCCTAAACCCTGAACCCTGAACCCTAAACCCCACACCCGGAAACCACGAAGCCCCACACCGCAGCCCAGCCACGGGGATCAACTCTGGCCCCCCCTCCCACCCGGGACGCTCCCGAGTGCTGACTCCACGCAGGTCTCGTTCAAACCATGGGTTTAGGGTTTAGGGTTTAGGGTTTAGGGTTTAGGGTGGTTTACACTCTGAGAGAGAGCACACGGGAGCGCGGGTCGGTCAGACGTCCTCTTGGTGCCATGCCTGGGCTCAGCGTTGTCGAGCCCGAGATGCACCAGCAACTGGTGCGGCCTCGGAACAAGGCGCGGATTCTGGGGTTTAGAGTATAGGGGGTTTAGGGTTTAGGGTTTAGGGTTAGGGTTTAGGGTTTAGGGTTTAGGGTTTAGGGTTTAGGGTTTAGGGTTTAGGGTTTAGGGTTTAGGGTTTAGGGTTTAGGGTTTAGGGTTTAGCGGGCAGGCCTCGCCAATTTGCATGTTCCTTTGTTTCCTGGCGTTGGTTGAGGAGGACACTGTTTTGGGAAGATGTTCAGAGGGGGTTCGAGGGTGACCTGCAAACCTGCACTAGTTCTCCAGTTCCCTACCAAGCTAGCAACCCTCAACCCTACTTCCCTACCTTAATGACACCTGTGGGTGGCAAAATTTGGGGCAAACTTGCCTGCTTGTGGGCATTTTTGCGGCACCGTTTTGCCTGCTTCTGTGGACATTTTTGCCTCCTTGTGGGCGTCCCCCCGCCCCCCCTTTTTTGCCTGCTTGTGGCCGCCCCCAACCCCCCCCCCCCACCACCCACCCCCCCCGCCTCCTGAGGTTGCCTTCAGAGTGTTTCAGGCCACTCATTCTCTTGTAATACTCATCTTGTTTGTGTGACGGTAGGCAGGAGTTTAACGACTTGTTCTGTAGTCGTAGCCTTCGTTGAATAGAACTTTGTTGTATGAAGATACTGTATATTTTCTTAATGTTATGGGATTCTCCGTGTGGGTGGGTGTTATATCAGAGCCGGATTTCACGACCATAACACTGCTCGTTTCGGAGCTGCTGAACCCTAAACCCTAATTCCTAAACCCTAAATCCTAAACCCTAAACCCTAAACCCTAAACCCTAAACCCTAAACCCTAAACCCTAAACCTTAAGCCCTAAGCCCTAAGCCCTAAGCCCTAAGCCCTAAACCCTAAACCCTAAACCCTAAACCCTAAACCCTAAACCTAAACCCTAAACCCTAAGTAGGTGAGATGGCCAGGTGTTCAGAATTGGCGGCGAGATTTACGACTCCAGCGGAGAGGATGCCCAGCGATGCCCGCTGCCCTTCCTGCCACCGAAGCAGAAGGCGCGCACTCTAGCGTTTAGGGTTTTGGGTTTAGGGTATAGGGTTTAGCGTTTAGGGCTTAGTGCTTAGGGTTTAGGGCTTAGTAAAAGATTTATGGTTCCTTTGGGGGTCTAAACCCCGCCTTTCGAAGGTCTTCGATATGTTCTTCTTCTGGGAGCTCTACGACTACCTCGCCAAGCGGTGCCTGCGGCAGGATGTTCCACTGATGGCGGTCAGGACCTTGGGGGTTTAGGGTGTTAGTGTTCGGGGTTTAGGGAGCCTTGAGAAAAGTATTTTACTTAGGTATTCGGGCCCATTAGGGCAGTTGGGAACCTGGGGGGGGGGGGAATTTTTCTTAGGTACCTTACACCCCACTACATATACCCTTTCTGAGATTGTGCAACCATACCCCACGATGTATGCTTTAAGGGATTATACAGGGTAACCAAGCTTCCCCATTCCCTATGAAGACCCGGTAATCGAAGCACGTCGCAAGCTCGAAGTCCCGAAGCCTCAATGCGCCCTAAACCCTAAACCCTAAACCCTAAACCCTAAACCCTAAACCCTAAACCCTAAACCCTAAACCCTAAATCCTAAACCCTAAACCCTAAACCCTAAACCCTAAACCCTAAACCCTAAACCCTAAACCCTAAACCCCAAACCCACCCCCAAACCCTGAGAGGAACATGTCCTGCAAGATCATGATCGTCTTCAACGAGCCGGACCCGCAGGACGTGAACTTCTTTGGGAGCCTCTCCAAGAAGCTCCTTAGTAGCTGAAGGAGTACAAATTCTCACATTTTGGGATACTATAATCCCCTGTATTTAGTTAAGAACTTTAGGGTTTAGGGTTTAGGGTTTGGGGTTTAGGGTTTAGGGTTTAGGGCATCAGCAACTAAGGTTCTGCTCCTGGAAGGACATCCGAAGGTCTCTTTTGACCGAGGGCCACCCGCGCCTCGGGTGCGCGCTGAGTAGGGTTTAGGGTTTAGGGTTTAGGGTTCAGGGTTTAGGGTTTAGGGTTTAGGGTTTAAAGAGGGTTTAGGGTTTAGGGTTTCAGGGGCTTTCGTTTAGGCTTGTTTCTGTGTATACTTCGCTTCAAAGTGCACGCCCCGCCCTCGAAATCGGCTGACATGATGGTCCTACTATCTGGGGGGCTATATTAGGGTCCCTTATTGTCGTAAATCCACAAGTTTTCATGTTGTTATGGGACCCTCAACCCTAGACCTTCATAGACCCCCCAACCCCAAACCTAAACCCTAAACCCTAAACCCTAAACCCTAAACCCTAAACCCTGAAACCCGAAACCCGAAACCCTCAACCCCCCAGTTAAGTAGGGAATTCTCAGGACCATCCAGCTCACCACAGTGGAGAGGATCTTCCTTATTTTTGACGACGACCAAAGCTGCAAGTTGGCCCAGGCGGCTCAGGGTTCAGGGTTCAGGGTGTAGGGTTTAGGGTTTAGGGTTTAGGGTTTGGGGTTTAGGGTTTAGGGTTTAGGGTTTAGCATTTAGGGGTTAGGGGTTAGGGTTTAGGGTACAGACGACGGTACATGTAGGAAGAGTCCTTACATGATATGGGGGTTTACGAGAATAAGGGACCCCTAATATAGATCCAAATAATTCCCATATCATTAGAACCCCAATAAGGCGCACCTATTGTCGGAAACGCCCATATGAGGATCCCTTTCCTAGCGAAGGGGTACTGGAGTCTCTCTGTCTTTTCTGTGTCTTTCGTCTCGCGTCTCCGCAGGAGTTGTGTTGATATTTCCTCGCAAGTCCTACACCCTGAACCCTAGACTCAAAGCCAAGGACATACAGAAGCAACACACAAGAACTATGCTTTTAAGGGAAGGGAGCGCTGGAGGTTTTTGTAGGCTTCGCGGTTCGGGGCCAGGGGGGCATTGGATCAGCCAGAAGGCTAGGGTCTAGGGTTCGGGTTTGGGCTTTCGTATTTGAAGACTAGGAGGGTTTCAATGCCTCTGCTCCCCACTTAGCAGAAGCAATCTAACGGACATTACTGCGTACTCGGAACAATACAATTTCCCCATTCCTGGTTATACATAGTTTCGGGGTTTCGCGTCGCATTGGTTGGGAGTGGTTGGAGGGCAGAACGAAAAACCTAAACCCTATACCCTATACCCTATACCCTATACTCTATACCCCATACCCCATACCCTAAGCCCTACCCGAAACCCAAGACTTTAAACCCTTTGTGGGAGAATCGGCCAGGTCTGGTTCTGGTTCATCTTGGTCGTGACGGTGGCCAACCTTGTCAGCGTCTAGGCATTCTTGAGAGTCCTTTTCTCGGGCCCTGCAAAGGTTTATTCAGGTTCAGAGTCTTTAGCCCGCCCTAAACCCTAAACCCGCAACCTTAAACCCGAAGCCATACACCCCCAAACCCCAAACCCCAAACCCTAAACCCTAAACCCCAAACCCCAAATGCTAAACCCTAAACCCTAAACCCCACACCCTGAACCCCCCCAAACCCCAAAAGCCTGAAGCAAAGGCATGGTGCAGCCACGCTACATTCAGACCATGTGCGAGATGGCCGAGCTTCACGAGTGCACGAGCGCCTTCAAGGTTGGCTTCGTCTAGGGTTTGGGGTTTCGGGCTAGGGTTTAGGGGTTAGGGGGGGTTAGAGTTTGTGGTTTCGGGTTTAGGCGGTTTAGGGTTTAGGGTTTAGGCCTTTGGGATGTTTCATATTCAAGAAGAGGGGCATATTTAGGAGGTCACAGGTACCAAAAGTACCTGGTGACTTGGAGGTTCGGACGCTGTTTTCGCGTGGGTTTGAGCTGCTCAAGCACAGTCTGCATGTACATTTTTCAGGAACGCGAGAATTACAGCAGGTTAGGATGTCCCACAGCAAGAAACACTGCAAAAACCGATGTTTTTTGAACTTTTATCTTGTGAACCTACAAATGTCTGAAATATATGACACAGAAGTACACATCACTCCTTTCACTTCGGGCGTTCTAGTGAAAGGGCGCAATGGCGGCAAACAAGGACAAAACCATGCGTTTCACGATGTTTTACGACATGCGCACAAGGGTCAGTTTTCTGCATTTTTGTTTTTTCCCTTTATGTTGCTTCTGGTGGCAGTTGTTGGTGGTTCGAGCGTCATGACGACACACCGTTCGCGTAAGCCTTGTGACAGTGCGTCTTGTTACAGAAACGTCAAACGTCCTGGTGCAGCATGTTGTGTAGAGGAGCAAAAACGCAGTAAATACCGGTGTTTTCGGCATGGATAGAGTAACATGGTCGTAACCAACCCCTCCCCCCTCCCCCCCAATAAAAATAAACTCTCCAAAAGTTCACGAAACAACCAGGTTTTTTAGGTACCTGCTTCCATTTAGACTCTTTTCCGGAGGGGTTTGAGGACCATCCGAGGTAGAGTGTTTAGTGCTTAGAATCCCAGGATTCAGGATGTATGGGTTTAGGGTTTAGGGTTTAGGGTTTACGGTTTAGGGTTTAGGGTTTAGGGTTTCGGGTGTAGGGATAATTTTTCAGAGGGTTTCAAGGCCCATCCTGTTTGGAGTGTTTAGTGCACCAAGCAACTTGAGAAGCCCAAAACCCCTGAGCCCCCAAAACCCCTCTAGCTCCAAACCCTACTCGGCGGTTCAGGGTACCTAGCAACGCAATTGTAACTGTACTTATAAGCCCCTTAAGTACCCTAACAGGGTTCTGATTGGGCTATAACCCTAAACCCTAAACCCTAAACCCTAAACCCTAAACCCTAAACCCTAAACCCTAAACCCTAAACCCTAAACCCTAAACCCTAAACCCTAGAGCCTTAAACCCTAAACCCTAGAATTAGGTGAAGTACCATGAACCTCCCAGTCCCCATCCAGGTGACCTGCCTCCTCGTCTTCAGCGTGGACTACTTTGTCCGGCTTGTATGTGCCCCCTTTGTCAGGCTTGAGCTGCTGTCCCCGCAACTTGGTTGGGTTTAGGGTTGAGGGTTGAGGGTTGAGGGTTTAGGGTTTGGGGTTTGGGGTTTAGGGTTTTGTTCACTGCTTCAGAGAAGTGACCATGTGGGCTTAGCGTTTAGGTTTTAGGGTTTACAACTCCTGAGTTTTTCTGCTTGCGCAGATCCGCTGAAGACCCACAAGACCTTGGTCCAGGGATCTTCTGGGGATTTAAGGTCTAGAGGTTAGGGTTACTGGTTTTCAATGGGTGGGCAGAGAGGGGACAGGCCGGGGCCGAGTCGCCGTGGACGCTTTGTAGGCATCCCCAGTTCCCACCTTTTTTTTGTTTTTGTGGGGGGCAAAGTGGCCTGTGAGAGTTCTCAAGCCTAAACCCTCAACCCTCAACCCTAAACCCTGAACCCTGAAACCTGAAGTGACCGAATTTGTTTAATTCTGGTCACCCCGCCCCCCTCCCCCCGTTTGGGGCCGAGGGCCTCGGGGATGGTAACCGCAAAAGGCACATGGAGTACTTCAACCTCGACGACTTCTCCCGGAAGCCCTACACCCCGAAGAGACGCCTCATTGAGTTTGCCAAGAAGTCCGACAACCTCGTGGACCTCATCGCCATCATGCCACTGGGCAACGTTTGGGTAGGATTTAGCGTTTAGGGTTGAGGGATTAGGGTTTAGGGTTTAGGGTTCAGGGATTAAGGACTAGGGTTTAGGGTTGAGGGTTTAGGTTTCAGGTTTAGGGTTTAGGGTTTGGGGTTTAGGGTTACTCAACTTCACACCTTGCTTTAAAATGTGGGGGTACGATGATGTCGCCGCCTCCTTCTGCCCCTTGTTGCCTGTAGCATCCTACCGGGTCCGCAGTTGCAACCCTAACCCTAAACCCCAAACCCTAAACCCTAAACCCTAAACCCTAAACCCTAAGCCCCAAGCCCTTAGCCCTAAACCCTAAACCCTAAACCCCAAACCCCAAACCCTAAACCCTGTCTTGCCCCCAGGCCTTACTGGGTGAACATCCTCGTGGGCCAGTTCCTGCCGTCCTCCTCTTTCCTCCGGATCATCCGCCTTGCCCGGCTCCTTTGTCATGGTGGAGTAACATTTTGCAGAAACCCTAAACCCTAAACCCTAAACCCTAAACCCTAAACCCTAAACCCTGAACCCTAAACCTTAAACCCTAAACCCTAAACCCTAAACTCTAAACCCTAAACCCTAAACCCTAAAACCCTAAACCCTAAACCCTATGTAAGGGCACTTAAACTCAATAAGGAGTAGAAAATTCAATTTTTCGAATGCTATCCCAAGCATGAGCCAGGCTCTTCCGCATCGCCAAATCGGCCCGGTACCTGGACATGCTGCAGGTCCTGGTCATGTTGCTTGGGTCTTCTATAGGTATAGGTCTTTTTTTGGGATGTATACATATATATATATATATATTATATTTATTTATTCAAAAAGGTATATGTTCCTTTTTGATTTGGGTTTAAGAGGATCATATTTTTCGGATTTTTTCAGAGGGTTTTAAGGGCCATCCAAGTGTTCTTGTGTGGAAAGTTGCTCCTGTCATGGCGAAAACCCGGTAGAAAGAGTGAAGAGAGACGAAGAAGCAAATATGCCTGGCAAAGGGGGGAAAAACAAACCCTAATCCCGAAAGCCTAAACCCTAAACCCTAAAACGTAAACCCTAAACCCTGAACCCTGAACCCTGAACCCTAAACCCTAAACCCTAAACCCTAAACCCTAAACCCTAAACCCTAAACCCTAAACCCTAAACCCTAAACCCGAAACCCGAAACCCTAAACCCTAAACCCTAAACCCGAAACCCGAAACCCGAAACCCTAAACCCTAAATCCTAAACCCTAAACCCTAAACCTTAAAATCTGAACCCTGAACCCTGAACCCTGAACCCTAAACCCGAAACCCCAAACCCCAAACCCCAAACCCTAAACCCTAAACCAAACCCTAAGGACACTCTGGAAGAGCTTCAGCATGGTGGCGATATTGTTCGTTCTGATCCAGCTCGTCGCTCTGATCGCCGGGTGCCTGCTGCAGGAGTTTGAATCTCGGTCGGCCCTGACGGGAAGCCTAAACCCTAAACCCTAAACCCTAAACCCTAAACCCTAAACCCTAAACCCTGAACCCTAATCCCTAAACCTTAAACCCTTAACCCTAAACCAGGGATATTGCTTGTACATTTATACACTTATTGTGCTTTAAGAGGAATCCTTCTGCCCCTAAACCTCATACCCTACAACCAAAACCCTAGCACTTGTGAATGATTCTTCAGAGGGATTTTTAATGGTTTTTAAGTGGCCTTCCGAGGAAGAGGACGGCAGCGAGGCAGCTTTTGAGTCAGTTCTGTCTGCCTGGTACTGGATCTTCTGCCGGCTCATCGGCATGAAAGACACCCCGTACCATGCCGGCAAGGTCCACACGGACGGGGGCATCGCCATCCTAGCGATCACTCTTACCCTGAAGGGGGTGCTGTGGATCGTTCCAATTGCCCGGATCAAGCAGATCTTCCAGTCCGAGTACAACGCAGTGGTCAAAGGAAACAACCTGCACCAGAAGGCAACCCGCGGCTCCGAATTAGTCTTTGCACAACTCTCTCTGAACGTAGCCTTCGTACATATATGTGTATGCACATGACTGTCAGTACTTATGCTTATGGTTGGTCTTTTTTCGTGGTTCATTGTTTATTACATAGCATGTCGTGAGACTTTTCAATATGTTAGTTTTTGTTGTTGTTCTTCATATTTGTTTCCTGAATGCTAACATATGTCATTTATTGTTACTGTTTATTGTTGATAGCACTCACTATTCTGACCATTTTTAAATCTATGTTTGTAACTCATTGTTTGTTATTCACTCATCTTTACATATAGTTACGCATTATCTTCCTTTGTTGTTCGAATTGCCCGTTGGCTTATGCTTATTGATGCGGTATTTCCATTCAACTACTTGTCATCAACATATCAGTTGTTATCTGGTGACCACTGTTTTGCTTCATGTTTTGCATTTACCATTTTACTATTCTTTTACTAGTAATTATGTGTCAGCTTCCTATTCTGTATTCATGTTAGGTATTGTTATTTGGTATTATTGCGTGCGTGTTCATCAACTGTTTTGTTGTTTACTATTGCTAATTGTTCTTGTTCATATCTACTTATCATATGAAATAGGATTATTTGTTCTTTTTCTTGATCGCCACAAGCAACATGATCTCCTATGGTTTCGTCTTGTTTCCCTCTGCCTCTTGCTGTTTCATCTTGCTTCTTACTCCTCCTCCTTGTTCCGCATGGTTTTCAGCTCCTTTTTTTCAGATCGCTGTTTGCTGAAAACTTGTTTTAGGGGGGAGCTTGGGATGTTCCCCACTCTTACAAAGGGATCATCGTATATACCCCCCTTTTTGTAATCCCTATGAAGGAGCGGTTAGTATAGTATAACTGAGGGGGAACATCCCCAGGTAACCCGCCTAAACCTAAGCCCTAAACCCTAAATCCCTAGCCCCAAACCCCAAACCCCAAACCCCAAACCCTAAACCCTAAACCCTAAACCCTAAACCCTAAACCCCAAACCCTAAACCCTAAACCCTCAACCCATGAGGTGGTCAAGGATCTCCTTGGGCAGCTTCACGACGCGGCCCTGGACAACGTGGCCAGCCCCACGCACGGAAGCATCTACGCCCGCATGGAGGTCCCGGGGGTGCCCTTAACACAAGCCCTGGTTTAGGGTTTTGGGTTTTGGGTTTAGGGTTTAGGGTTTTGGGCTTTGGGTTCTGGGTTCAGGGTTTAGGGTCTAGAGTGGATCTATTGACCCAGAAGCCGTTAATGAACCCTTCATCCCCTGCCCCTTGATGAACCTTTATAAGCCTAAGTTAGCCTTGAACCCCGAAACCCTAAACCCCAAACCCTAAGCCCCCTGAGCCCCATTGTCCCGGCTGACCCTAATCCCGTTTCAGCGTTTTGTGCGTCTTGGGGGTTTCCCTAACCCTATACCTAATCCCTAGCAGCAAGAAGCCCTAAACCCTAGTTTCCAGAAGATGCAGAGGGGAGGCCATAAGCATCTTAGGTTTAGGGTTTAGGGTCTAGGGTTTAGGGTTTAGGGATTAGGGTGCAGGGGAGAAGCCCACAGGTGGTGCTGGAGAATGGTCGCCTCCATGCGAACGTGCCGCTTCCCATCCATCACGCGGATTGTAAGGCAGGGGAGGGTTGCTAAACCCTAAACCCGAAAACCTAAACCCGAAACTCGAAACCCGAAACCCGAAACCCTAAACCCTAAACCCACTCTTGGGGTAAAGAGGACATCCCTGAGTTCGTCGTGGCCACATCCTCCGCGGACTTGGCGGATGTGAGTGTCAAGGCAGGTTGGGTCGGGGGGGTTTGGGGTTTAGGGTTTACGGTTTGAATTTGAATCACCTTGCGTTTTGCAGCATACGAATTGGGCGGGGGGGATGCTGCCCCCCGCCCCCTCTGCTATCCCCCCCCACCCCCTCAACGTTCTTTTCACAGCGCGCAAGCTTGCGTAGCAAATAACACTTGCGAATCAAGAGAGGCTTGTGGTCCCTTATAAGCCTTTGTGAGTGCAAACCAAATGGCCAAGCCCTAAGCCCAGAAACCACCCCTCAGAGAAGCACTTGGAGGTTCAGGGTACTTGTAACCCCGATTAACACTGCACCTATAAGCCCCCTAAGTCCCCTAATTTGGGAGGATGCCGACTGATATAACCGGGGTTAGAAGTACCCCTGAACCTCCAAGCCCCGTCCAGGTGGGCATGCGGTGGGAGCCGGACCCGTCCATGAAAACCCACGATGAGGCGTTGCCTTTTGGCAAGCTCCACTTGTCGGTGGTCAGCGCCTGGGATCTGAAGCGGGTTCAGGGTTTAGGGTTTAGGGTTTAGGGGTTTCCTTTGTCTCTCCTAGCCCATAACTTTCAACCGTAAACCCTTAGTTTTTGGTAGGGTTCCTGTGGCAGTAAGCCCCGACTCTAAAGACCCTATACGCCCTGAACCCTGAACCCTAAGCCCTAAGCCCTAAGCCCTAAGCCCTAAGCCCTAAACCCTAAACCCCAAACCCCAAACCCCAAACCCTAAACCCTAAACCCTAAACTCTGGAGCCCAGGCGTGGAACCCGAGCATGACATCAAGGAGGTGACCTGGCAGGTGCCCCTCTCAAAGGACACACACACAGAGACTCCAGTACCCTTTTAGGGTTTAGGGTTTAGGGTTTAGGTTTTTGAGTTTAGGATTTAGGGTTCAGGGTCTGGGGCTCAGGGTTGAGGGTTCAGGGTTTAGTAGCATTGGAAATTCTGAGCAGTACGATGTAAATCACAGCAAATCTCGCTGCAACCTGAGCCCTGAGCCCTAAACCCCTGCAAAAGGTTCGGTGTTAGAGCATCTAGGCAGCTGATCCTCGGACTTGGCAACGCAGAGTTAGAGAAGTGTTGCCATGCATGGGCCAAGGGTCCAGGGATCTCCAGGTTCTTGTTTACTGTGGCTTCTGGCCTAACGTCCTCAAAGGGACTGTAGGGGCCACAGGGCTTCTGGGGCTTTGGGAGGTGGGGGCACTGGAGGTTGCAAGGCTTTCTGGACCGAAACACAATGGCCCTCGGACAGGTTCCATGCGACTTGTTCCGTCCGGAGTGGAAGACGGCTGCTTGGAACGACCGCACCAGCGGCATGTGTAACTTTGCCATCAGCTGGCGCGGAGAACACGTGGCGGACATGTCGGCGAGAAAGGAGAAGCACGATGACGAGCAAACGACTTTGGAGCATCTGGAATGTATGTAGAAACTGCTTTTGCTTGCCTGACTTCAGCCACATGGGGTGGGGGGGGACCCTAAACCCTAAACCCTAAACCCCAAACCCTAAACCCTATACCCTAAACTCTAGACCACTGAGGTATGGTGAGTTCCAGGCGAAGGTCTTGCACCTGCTCAATCAGCAGAACATCACGTTGCAGAGCCAACGGAAGACACCGGGTCCAGAGTTATAGGGTCAGTTCTCAAAGTCGTGGTCCTTTTGGGGTACAGAACCCAAAGAAATATTTCAGGGGCGGCCACATCATAGGAACCCCAAAAGGGACCAGAATTCAGATCCGCGACCATATGGGGTTTAGGGGTTTGAAGCATGCATTGGAGAACCAGGAAAGCCCGCTTCGATTGTGCAAAGCCAAATAAAGCGCAATGCCGAAACCATGCAAAGCCCTCCCGAAACCATTCCCCCAAGCCCAACCCCCCAAAACCTTCCTGAGCCCCAAGCCATCAGCCCTCAGCCCTTAACCCCGCCGCCTAAAGCTCTCAACCCTGAACCCTAAACCCTAAGCCCCAAACCCTTAACCCTAAGCCCTCAACCCCAACCCCCTGAAGCCCGAAACCCCCTAAAGCCCCCGACCCCCTAAAGCCCCCCCGACCCCAACCCCCTAAAGCCCCCAACCCCCTAAATGCCTCCAACCCCCTAAAAGCCCCCAACCCCCTAAAGCCCCCAACCCCCGAACTTCCATGTGGGACGAGGAAGATGGAGGAGCTTCAGAAGCAGCTCCAGCCGGTCGATGTGAACCAGGGGTAGTTCTGGATCTGCATCTCCGTACATATATATATATATATACAATACACATACACATACATATGTATATATATATATATAATATACATATATATATATATACATATGTATGTATGTATATATATATATATATATATATATTATGTGTGTAGATGTATACGTATACATATGTAGATATAGGCATATCTACACCTATCTTTTGTAAATCACGCAGCTTGCTCATCACGGGAAGCAGCATCCCAGATCGCCACGGCCCAGTCTCACCCCGGCAGAAAAACCTCCGACTTCAAAGGCGCCCCGGCCCTATATCTTCGGTGGAAATGTAAATCCGCCCAAACCTAACCCTAAACCCTAAACCCTAAACCCTAAACCCGAAACCCTAAACCCCAAACCCTAAACCCACCCCCCTAAGCATCCTAGGGCCGACATATCCTGCGAGGGCGTCAGAGTAGGGAGCTCCTTCCGCAGCAAAAGCTGCGTCAGCTGGGAGTCGACTTCGCTGGGCTGCTGTTATTGAGGGGGCGGGTTTAGGGTTTAGGGTTTAGGGTTTAGGGTTTAGGGTTTAGGGTTTAGGGTTTAGGGTTTAGGGTTTAGGGTTTGAGGCTTAGGGTTGTGGAACTTACAGCTAAACTCCCATAGTAGTGGGGCCAAAGTGAATAGGATGGTTTACTACTTCTCCGGTCGCGTCATTTTGTTCTCGCACAAGCAGCCCAGAGTTGCTACTAATTGCCGAACACTGCGTGTGGTGCAAAGGGGGGCTGAGGGACTTTAGGGGACCTCACCCTCGAAGCTTAGACGCACCCAACAGCCCAAGCCCATAAAAAAGGGGTCGGAGTAACTACTCCCTTATGGTCCCTATACAAATATACCATAATGAGCCCCCCCACAAGAGACCCTCAACCCTCAAGCGCCGGCCCGGTCCACCATGAAGGCGCGTCGGGCAGCGGGCTATGTGGAGATTCTCCGGTTCCTGGTGAAAGGTGGATTTGAGGCCTGTAGGTCGACACACACCTGCCATGAGCCAGAAGGAGGGCCGCAATATAGGGGTCGGAAGAATTACTAGTACTACTCCCTTATGGTTCCTGTATAGCTATACTACAATAGCCACCCCAAAATCCCATTCTAATGATTTAGGCCCCTATGGTATCAGGAGGCTTCTGGATGGCGCTTCCTTCCTTCAGCGGTCTTCGCCAAGCGAGATCGCTTACTCTCCGAAGGAAAAGAAGCTCTGAGCGACCCCACTGTTCAGGGTTTCGGGTTTAGGGTTTCGCGTTTAGCGTTTAGGGTTTAGGGTATGGAGCGACCCTCCTTCCAAAAGGCGCAGAGGTTTCTCCTGGTTGGCTTGCTACGGAAACTTTTTGTTTCCTTATATGGTCAGTTCTCTACATTATGGTCCCTTTTTGGGTGCCCTAACTAAGCGGGGCTGCCGTAGAGTAAGGACACCGGAACTTAAAGAAATCACCATCTAGAGAGTACGGTGCACTGAAAGGAACCACATTTGAGCCTACTTGGACAAGGCTAAACTCAAGGCGCAAAAGCGCCCAACCTGGGTTTAGGGTTTAGGGTTTAGGGTTTAGGGTTTAGGGTTCAAACCATCCTTACCCTGCAACCTCAGTGTCCTAGGGCCTAGGGTGTGGGGGTTTAGGGCCCTGAACCCTGCCCACAAAACCCGAGAAACTCTAATCTGAAAATCCAAGTCCTGAAGACCCTCAAAGCGATCGAAAGGTGCCGCTTCACCAACCTGGACTGGGTGGTCATCGGAAGCGAGCTCGAGGCATCCGGGTTTGGGGGTTTCGGGTTTAGGGTTTAGGTTTTCGGTTTGGGGGTAGGTGGGTGGTCTCGGAGATCCTTTCAGCAAGTCCGCAAAAGGACCCTAAATCCCTAAACCCTAATGCAGAACTTCGAGAACCCCTGAGACCCAATTGAAAGCAATCGCGAGGTTTTGGGGCTTGAGGGTTTAGGGTTAAGGGACCAAGCAGTCAGAGAACTTGTTGGCTGCCGAATCGAGGGCATTCGCTTAAGAACCCAGCCTCCCCCCCCCCCCCCCCAAAAAAAAAAAACAACAAAATCAAATACTCATATAGGGAAGTCTTTGTTTGTCTTCTTTTTTTGGGGGGGTTCTTAAGCAAACAGTTGTGTGTGTGTGTGTGTGTGTGTGTGTGTGTGTGTGTGTGTGTGTGTGTGCGCGCGCGCGCCTCTCTTGAGGCCCGAGACTGCGGCCAGTTCAGAGGTTTTTCACATGGTGGGGTCCAGGTGTTGACGTTACATACCCACACGCACATTTATATATGCATATATATATATATATATATGTATATATATATATATATAAGCATATATATATATATGTATATGGTACCCCCCCCCCCCAAAGATCCATAGTTTTTTGCCGTATTTTACGTCTTGTGTCAATTTTCAAGACTTCTTGAGAAGTCTAATGCAGGTTTGCAGCGTCTGCAGAGGGTGAGCCTCCTTTTTGCTGCGCCAACGCCGTGTCTTGAAGTTGACGTACAGTCGATTCACGGTATGGCTTCGGAAAAGGAAGTCTGAAGACGTCTTATATAAAAAGTCTTGAAATATGGAATGTCAAGAAGGGTTGTCATTATTGAAACCCTCAATTGAAATAATGAATTTCAATAAGGGTTCTCATTATTGAAACCCTTATTAGGTAACCTTCAATTTTTCAACCAAGACAGCAAAAAGGATTGCGCCTCCCTCCCCCTCCTCTCCGCTCCACTCCGCTGCGCTTTGCGGTTGTTTTTAAGGGTCTTTGTTAAGGGATTAGGCTCTAACCCCTAAGCCTTAAAGCCTATAGGGTTTAGGCTCAAATCTTAAGCCCGAAACCTTTCAATCATACAGAGGGTTTCAAGGTTAAACAATTAGACTTAAATCCTTAACCGTAACCCTTTAAACCCCATAGTGAAGGTTTAAAGGTTTAGGGTAAGGCTTAGGCATTCAAAACTAAGCCGGCAAGTAAACCTACCCCCTTAACCTTAAAGCCCTGGGGTTAAGGGGGTTAAAATTAAGGGTTTCAGATGTAAGCAGTCAAACCTAAGGCCACAAAGTTTAAAGCAGAAGTGTTTAATGCTTGGGCATCTACACGTTGACCCTAAACCCTTTAGGTTCAGAACCCGAAAACCCTTCAGGGCTCTAAAGGGTTCAAAGGTGTTAAGCCTATAGGCGCTGATGTTATACTTGCCCAGACCAGGTTGTTTAAACCATTTAGCCCTATAGGGCTGGGCTACAGGTTTAAGGCTTTTCAGGGTGCATCTCTAACACCCTTATGGGGTTGTTTCTAGGGTGTAGATCCTACAGGGTAAACGGTCTAGATTCAAGCATTGCCTGCAGAATTAGCACCTTACGACCCTCTAGGGCTTGGGGCATAAACCCCTAAACCTTAAATCCTATAGGGTTATGCCTATGTTTGTAGGGCTTGCCTCCTTTGGAGATGCAGAGAGAACACAGTAGAAGTACTCACATCAGGTATGTATATAGGGTATATGTATTGTAAATCAAATACAGACGATGGAGAAGGAAGGATGGCAAGTCTCGAATCATAAGACTAGGAAGTATTCGAGTGCATAGGGTGATGCGAAAAGTCATTTACAGTAAGTGTGGGGGAGTGAGAGTATTGTGAGCAAATATCCTATCCCGCTCACCACTCTTCATGTTTCCCACAGAAACCGCGTATCAAGTCCGTACTATTTGAATTTCTCATTCAAAGGTCATGCCCTAAAACATTGTCATTTGGAAGTCGTTGAGCTTTACGTCTGATAAGAATTAATCAGTTGGGCTTCAAATTCATAGTTTAACCAAATAGCTAATAACAGCCCCCGCCTTAAGTGAATTTTATCTGCAAAATCTTCGTGCCTCGTTCGCAATATTTGAAAAATAAATTCCAAGACTACCCTGTCAAATCCTCCCTTTAAATTTAAATGGCACACCTTCTGCAATCCTCTTCTGGGGCCTTCTTGTTTTGTCACTAGATCCTATATTCAGAGGTCACAGCCTGAAAGCCCTCATTTGGGCCTGCTTCGTAATTTCTTGAAGAATGAGCTTATATAAGAAAGCCACACACTAGGAAATTCTCGTCTGGGCTTTGTTCGTGAGTAAACCGAATTTTAACAAGTACATTAACTGGCCACAGCCCAAGACATGCTTTGTATGGGAATTACATCTAGTTAACGGTATATTAAAGACCGACCACACGGTAACAAATCCTCCTCTGTCCCCTATCCGCAATGAAATTTGTTTGGAACTTTAAATTCTAAGGCCACACCATGAGAAATCCTCATCCGAGCTTCGTTTGGAATGCACCTTGATGGATTAGAACTTTAGATTCAGAGGCCACACCTCGAAGACATTGCGCTCACGCACTGCTCTCCTGCTGCTAGATGGGCATAAAACCATGGATCTTTGGGGGGGGGTAGCATATATATATATATATATGTATATATACATGGTCTCGGGCTCCGGGGCCCTACCCCCCCCCCCCCCCCCCCCCCCCATGGTATCCCCCCCCCCCCCCAATGGTATGCCCCCCCCTCCACCTAAACCTCAAACCTTACCCCGAACCCCCCAACCACACCCACACCACTCCGGGCGGGGGGGGGCACGGACCTTAAACCCCAAACCCGACAGGGGGGAGGGGGGGCGCGGGGGTATTAAACCTTAAACCCTAACCCCCCAACCACACCCACACCGCAGCAAAGATGTTATTAAACCTTAAACCCTGAAGCCCCAACCACACCCACACCACAAAGGGGGGCGGGGTTATTAAACCTTAAACCCCGAAGCCCCAACCACACCCACACCACAGGGGGGACGTGGGGGTATTAAACCTTAAACCCTAACCCGCCAACCACACCCACACCACAGGAGGGGCGCGGGGTTATTAAACCTTAAACCCTGAACCCACAACCACACCCACACCACAGGGGGGGGGCGGGGGTGGGCCCTAACCCTTAAACCTTAAACCCTAACCACCCAACAACACCCACACCGCAGGGAGAGGGGGGGGGTGGGGGTAGGGATACAAGGGAGGGGGGGGGGGGTGGGCGTGGCAGCCCTGGACCATATATATATATATATATGTAAGCCTAAGTCCCGAGAAGAACCTAAACGTGGAGGAGGCCGCCTTAAATTAAGGGTTTTGGGTTTGAACCCTAAACCTTAAGCCCTAAGCCCTAAACCCTAAACCCTAAACCCTAAACCCTCAACCCCTAAACCCTAAACCCTGAACCCTGAACCCTAAACCCTAAACCCTAAACCCTAAACCCTAAACCCAAGGCTAAACCCTTGAGCCAAACAACCGCTCAGGCGGAGCTGAAGATCGGCAGAGCGCGGGGACCTGGCATCGCCGGGAGTGCCGCCATTTTTATTTGTTTTAATTGTATTTTATGATTATTAACATTAGTTTTTTTTTTTTTTTTTTTTGGGGGGGGGGGGGGGGCTGGGGGTTTAGGCTTACCCTAAACCCTAAACCCTGACCCTGAACCCTAACCCTAAACCCTAACCCTAAACCCTAAACCCTACACCCTAAACCCCATAAGCCCTAAACCCTAGACCCTATACCCTCTACCCGAAACCCGACTTTCATGCGCCCTGCGGCCCTGAAACCCAAGCAGCCCGACCTGGGAGTTGTTGAAAAGTTGCGTTCAGGTTTAGGTCCCCTAGCGTTACCCTTAAGGTAACATTCCTCACAACAAGACCCACCCCCACCCACAAACATCAAAAGGACTTTAGTCTACAGCAGTAACCTATTTTGAGCCTTCACAGAAATATGTACCCCTCGAACGCTAAAGGTCAACTCCATAGTCGAAAATCCCAGTTAGATAACTGATGCTTAGCAGGGAATGAGGGAATTTGGCACCTTGTATCCCCTACATGTGCCCTTGAAGGGATGATCTAGAGTACCTGATTTTCCTCATTCCCTCGCAAAACCCTAAACCCTAAACCCTAAACCCTAAACCCTAAACCCTAAACCCTAAACCCTAAACCCTAAACCCTAAACCCTAAACCCTAAACCCTAAACCCTAAACCTAACCCTAAACCCTAAACCCTAAACCCTAAACCCTAAACCCTAAACCCTAAACCCTAAACCCTAAACCCTAAACCCCAAACCCCAAACCCTAAACCCTAAAAACCCCAAGCCCTAAACCCCAAAATCCCAAAAACCCTAAAAAACAAGGTCGAGGTCATCAATGACTTCGTGGCACAGGGCTACGGCATGCTCACGTTGGACAGCGAAGAGGTCTCAACCTAAAACGGCTCGCCAGGGTCTAGGGTTTAGGGTTTAGGGTTTAGGGTTTAGGGTTTAGGGTTTAGGGTTTAGGGTTTAGGGTTTAGGGTTTAGGGTTTAGGGGTTGGGGATTAGGGATTAGGGTTTAGGGTTTAGGGTTTTGGGTTTAGGGGCGTTTAGGGTTTGGGTTTAGGGTTCAGCATCTCACGTCAAAGCATACACTAGTCAAGCAGTTTGTCACGTGACGGAGACATACCGACCCGCCCATAATGCCCAGGAACAAGTTTGCACAATGCCCATGAATAATTTGTGCTCAATGCCCACCCGCGAAGTCTTGAACAATGCCCACGAACATGTCTGAACAATGCCGATGAATTTTGCACAATGCCGGCAAAATCCTGACCAAAGGCAGTGCCCACGAAGTTGTGCTAAATGCCCACGAGTTTTTAAGCAATGCCCACGAGGTTTGAACAATGCCCACGAGTTTTTGAACAATGTCCAGGAAATGTTGAACAATGCCCACGAATGACTTACGGATCAGTAAGTATACATGTGAAGGAGAGGTTTCGGGCTTCCCCCTGTTACAAGCAGTCCTCAATAGGGATCATAATAGGTGGTACTACAACCCCGATTAAGGACTGCTAGTATAAAGGGGAACATCCCAAACCTAGACCCCAAAACCCATGGCAGGTCACCAAGCTCAATGACGCGAATGCAGTGCCCAATGGCACCATCGCCTGCATTGGAGCTGGCACAGGCCGGAGAGGGCATCCTCAGATATGCAAGAGTAATTGCCAGTACCGTGCCTTTACATTTCTTTCTTGTGTATGTAGAACAAGCCTAAACCCTCTAAAGCCTAAACCCTAAACCCTAAATTAAACCCTAAACCCTCTATTGGGGTTTAGGGTTTTAGTGTTATAGGCTCTGGCTGCAAGTTGGCTCGCAGGCCTCGGGCAATGCTTCTTGGTCGCGGATACCCAGACAGGCGAATACACTTGCCACCCCAGCGAAGGACCGGACCAGCCCTAAACCATAAGCCCCAAGCCTCCCAACCTTCCAAGCCTCTCAAGCCCCCCCAAACCTCCCAAAGCCCCCAAATTTTCCAAAGCCCCCAGAACCCCCAAAGCCCCCAAAAGCCCCCAAAAGTCCCCAAAAGTCCCCAAAAGTCCCCAAAAGTCCCCAAAAGTCCCCAAAAGTCCCCAAAAGTCCCCAAAAATCCCCAAAAACCCCCAAACCCCTCAAAGCCCCCAAAAGTCCCCCGAAAGCCCCAAAAGCCCCCAAAAGCTCCCAAAGCCCCCGCCTTCACGAAGGACAGCACGGCGAGTTTGGCCCTCGCGGGGCTGGCAGCGACGAGCTGAAGTTGGAGGCAATTGAACACTGCGTGGGTGGGGGGGGTTGGTTGCCAGGGTTGAGGAGGTTTTTGGGGTTCAGGGTTCAGGGTTCAGGGTTTAGGGTTTAGGGTTTAGGGTTTAGGGTTTAGGGTTTAGGGTTGAGGAGGTCCAGGGTTGAGGGGTGTTTAGGGTTTAGGGTCCAGTTGCAGGGTTTAGGGTTGAGGGTGTAGGGATTGGGAGGTTTTGGAGGAGTTTAGGGCTCAATTTTGGAGGTTTAGGTTTGAGGATTTGACCTTACACTCACAGGCCCGCAAGCCTTCCCCGAAAAGAGTATGCCCTCCCCTTTACGGATCCAAGACGAAGAGAAAGGAATACTTGGGGGTATCTCTTTGGCGGATGGACCCGAAGCCCTAAATCCTGGCTAATCCTGAAACCTCCTCAGCCCCTAAACGCCTAAACTAAACACTAATGCATGTGTATGGGGGCTTACAAAAAATATGGGACCCTCATATAGTCCCCCAAACAGTAGGATTCCCTTAGAATAAGGACCTCATTCAGGTACCCCTAATTTCGGAAGCCCCCATATCAAGGCTCCTAAACAGCGCCCCCCACCACTCAATCCCTCAATCCTAGACTCCAAACCCTGAACCCTAAACCTTGAGGGCCCAAACCCTAAACCCTAAACCCTAAACCCTAAACCCTAAACCCTAAACCCTAAACCCTAAACCCTAAACCCTAAACCCTAAGACCCTAAGCTTTGAACCCGAAAGCCCCCGGAAGAAAGCCTCAACCCTTCAGCAAAACCCTCGCATCATCCCCTCCATGGAACTCCCAAGAAAGAAAGACCCCAGGGCCGGCCGACCGCCGAGCCGCCCTACTATAGGGGTCGGAAGAATTACTACTAGTATTCGCTGATGGCCCCGCTTGTGGGGCTACATAGGTATGATGGCTCCTTCCCGTTTTTTCGAGGGCTTTTGTAGGGACGAAGGGCCCGTGCGATAAGTTTCTCCTGAGGTTTCTTAATCTCCGGCTTCAGGGTTCAGGGTTTAGGGTTTAGGGTTTAGGGTTCAGGGTATCCCGCGTGGCAGTTGCTCAAGTACCTGAAGATCAAATTTTCCAACGCCGGCAACCGCATCTCCACCGAGCGTGTGGTCTCAGGCCAGCTGGGAGGGTTTAGGGTTTAGGGTTTAGGGTTTAGGGTTTCGGGATTTGGGTACCTGGTGGCGCGCATCTGCTGTCCTAGTTGGGGACGAACATCCTGGTTGGAGACTGACTGCAGCAGCTAGCTTTGATTCAATACCAAAGCACCCCTGGACCTTTTCCAGGATTGGCCCGAGATCCTGGTTGTTCTTCTCAGTAAGGCTAGCTGTGTCTGTCATCTGCCGCCATGCAGGATTGTGCTCGGCTTCTCTCTTCTATATCACCCTTGGGAGTTTTTTTTCACATAAAAACCCAAGAGGATCTTTCTTTTCATTAAGGTTCAAAGGGGAGTATAGTCTGAACCGTCATTGAAAGGCACGGGCATCTGCAACATCTACGAGTTTCTGGCCTACAAGCATCCGCACGAAGTGGATGAGGAGGCAGCCATGGGTTGTTCAAAAAAAGGGCCAGAGTGGGTGCAGCACCTCTTTCTGCGCTTGAACGGAAACCCTAAACCCTAAACCCCAAACCCAAATCCCAAAGCCCAAAGCCCTAAACCCTAAGCCCCAAAACCCTAAACTGAGTGAGCCCAGGGCCGTCGAGCAGGGCGAACGCGCCGAAGCCGGCAGGCGAGGCCGCTCCGGAGCCAGAAGCCCTCCGGCGGGCGACGGAGCCAGTCCCGCAGGCAGCTGCGGGCTGCGCGGTGGACCCGGCAGGTCGCTGGCGAGAAACCCGTCAGGTCGCCCTAGAATAAGATACCCCAAACCTTCGGGCAAAACATCGCAACCTCCTGCCCGTGCCGGAGGCCCCTGCCTGGAGGCCCCCTGAAAGGCCCCTGTGCCGGGAGGCCTGCCCTGCCTGCAAGGGCTTTGGCTGGCAGGGCCCCTGCTGGGAGGCCCCTGCCTGGGAGGGTCCTGGGAGGCCCCTGCTTGGGAGGCCCCTGCCTGGGAGGTCCCTGCCTAGCAGGCCTGCCTGGCTGGGAGGCGTCTCCGAAGCCCTGCTGGGAGGCCCTTGCCTGGAGGCCCCTGCCTGGGAAGCCCCTACCTGGAGGCGGAGCGCCACATGAGAGGCCCCGAGCCCTACCTACCAAGGCCCCTGCCTGCAAGGCGCCTAGGAGGCCCCGGCCTGCAAGCTGCCTGGGAGCCTGCCTGGGAGCCCTAGCTCTGGCCTTGGCGCGAAGGCGGCAGCCAGCCCCAAGCCCAAACCTTCGGGTTTTTAAGTTTGAGAAAAACTTGCTGGGAGGCTGGGGACTGGATCTGCTTACCCGCCTGAAAAACAGGCCTTGGCCTGAGGTGTCTGGCCCTTTCAAGCTAGGGATCCAGATCCCCAACAAGACGAAGGCGGCAGCCAGCGGGGCGTCTGTCGGTATGCTCCAAGGCCGTGATGGCTTCGCCGGTCGGCTGCGCGTCGTCGGCTTCCTCCTCCTCATCAGGTGCTGGCGCCATGGTGGCATCCGCGGAACCTTCAGTGCGTCGCCCCAAGCCCAAACCTTTGGGCTTTTCACTAAAAAAAATGATTCACAAGGCCACCACGACTCCAACAAGGTCCAGCTGCAGCATCAGCGAAAGCGGAGGCAGCAGCAACCGCCCATCCCACCCCTTTGACTTCAGGGCGCGAAGGCGGCAGCCAGCCCAATCCCAAACCTCTGACTTTTTGGCCCTCCCAGAAGCCCTCGAATGAGGCAAACTTCTGATTTCACGCCCTTCCAAGCAAGTTTTCCAACCCCCGCCCAACACGCAGCATCACAGAGGGCGAAGGCGGCAGCCAACCCCAAGCCCAAACCTCTGACTTTTGGCTCTTCCAGCAGCCCTCGACTGATACACATCTCCCTTGCAATGCCTAGGGGCTGCGAGCTTCAGGGTAGTTGATCGGCATCGATGCCGAGCTTCTAAACCCAACCAATAGACAAGAGAAAAATAACAAAAGCACGATCAGAGTTCAAAAGAACCCTAAACCCGTAGAGGTTAAGGCGAGGGTGGAGCGCCAGCGGGGGTGGGCTTATGCAACTCGGGGCGCGCGCCTGGGTGCTTTCAGCACCAGCGCGCCCACTCATTGAGACACCCTAAACCCTAAACCCTAAACCCTAAACCCTAAACCCTAAACCCTAAACCCTAAACCCTAAACCCTAAACCCTAAACCCCAAATCACCTTCGTAGTTTTTCTCTTGGTTGCTGGATCCTGGGGCCGCGTCTTGTGGGATGTTGGGCGTGAGGGGGCTAAGGGTTAGAGCCGCAAGGTCGAGCAGCATAAGCCCGAACCCTAAATTTCGGACCCTAAACCCTAAACGCTAAACGCTAAACCCTAAACCCTAAACCCTAAACCCTAAACCCTAAACCCTAAACCCTAAACCCTAAACCCTAAACCCTAAACCCTAAACCCTAAACCCGACAGCTGCAAAGGTGCACAGCCTGCACAACGACCGGCCGAAGGATCCCCCAGGGTTTTCGAGCGCACGGCTGAGTTTCAGGGTAGGGTTTAGGGTTTAGGGTTCAGGGTTTAGGGTTCAGGGTTTAGGGTTTAGGGTTTAGGGTTAAGGGTTTAGGGTTTAGGGGTTAGGGCTTAGGGCTGAGGGCCCAAGGCTTAGGGCTGAGGGTTTAAGGCTTCGGGTTTCGCTTTAGGGCTTCCTCCAATGCATTTTTGAGGTCCCTCTCTTGGGAGTTTAGGATTTTGGGGTGTTTGGAGTTTCTGGGTGTAGGACTTGGGCTCTTTAAGTTTCTGTTTTTCGGGGTTAGGGTTTTCCGCGAGACTCACAGCTTTGAATAACACTCAGCGCCAAATTTGAACCCTGAACCGGCGCCGGCCTGGGTCTAGTTGCAGCGCTGGCCTCTAAGCCCTACACCTCCAGCTTCGCGCTCCCCGGTGTCGGGGGCAAAGTTTGGGGCTTCAAGATCATGTGGGGGGCATGACATCTCTCAAAAAGCAAGTGAGGTGCCCTTAAGGCGTCCCACAGTATCAACTCCTTAGTGACTAGAAGTACACGTACTTCTTCTTCTTCAAGCCCTCCATGGTTGGGGTTTTTGGGGTTACACCCGTGGGGCTCCAGGGTTCGGGTATTGAAGGGCTTCAGGGGTTCAGGGTTCGAGGGTCCAAACCTTGGATTAGGGTTTAGGGTTTAGGGTTTAGGGTTTAGGGTTTAGGGTATAGGGTTTAGGGTTTAGGGTTTAGGGTTTAGGGTGCTGCGGTCGCAGGATGCAGGGATCATCGCCATGAATGCGAGCCTTGGCTGGAGATCAGCGCGATGTCCTGGTTTAGGGTTTAGGGTTTAGGGTTTAGGGTTTAGGGTGTAGGGTTTAGGGTTTAGGGTTTAGGGTTTAGGGTTTAGGGTTTGGGGATCTTGTGCTTCGGACAAAGCCGTGCTCCGTTGTTTTGGGACGCCGCTGAAGCGAGAGGCAGTGGTTTTAAGTGCGCAAGATTCAGGTATGCACCTGAGTCAGAAGCTAACCGTGTAGGCTCAGGATTCTGTACCCTAAACCCTAAACCCTAAACCCTAAACCCTAAACCCTAAACCCTAAACCCTAAACCCTAAACCCTAAACCCTAAACCCTAAACCCTAAACCCTAAACCCTAAACCCTAAACCCTAAACCCTAAATTTTAGCCTTGCGGGGTATCTAGAAAGGTGCAGATGATGGAACAACAAAAACCACACGCGACTCAAAGGAAAGGCGCAGCCACGCGCCTGAGTTGCAACCCCAAGCCCCTCAAAACTCTGAACCCTGAATCCGAATTACCCTAAACCCTAAACCCTAAACCCTAAACCCTAAACCCTAAACCCTAAACCCTAAACCCTAAACCCTAAACCCTAAACCCTAAACCCTAAACCCTAAACCCTAAACCCTAAACCCTAAACCCTAAACCCTGAACCCTGAAACCTAAAGCCTAAACCCCTACCTGGATGAGGATAAACAATTTGGCCCTTCTTGGCAACCTAAAACCTTAAATTGCACGATAGGGAGTGTACCGCAACTATCCAACAGCAAAAAGTCCATTCTTTGGATCAAGTCTTCTCATGCGCTTTATGCGTTGGGCGCTGGATTCTCCGGCCCTCCTACGCGTTTGGACCCGATCTATGAGCCCCGAACCCTAAACCCTAAACCCTAAACCCCAAACCCGAAACCCTAAACCCTAAACCCTAAACCCTAATCCCTAAACCCGAAACCCCTTGGAGATCACACAGCAACAAGGAAGCCTGGGACGCTGTGTGAGAAGACCATGAAGATCTTCGCCGATGCCGTCGCCTCAGCACATGATGTTCAGTAGGTACTTGGGGAGGTTCAGGGTACTTAAGACCCAACTATAAGTGTCATTATAACCCACATAACTTATAGACCCCTTAAGTAATCCAATAGGGTTCTAACTGGGCTACAAGTACATCTATAGTTGAGTTACTGAAGTACCATGAACCTCCAAGTAGGGGGGGGAGGGGAGGAGGAGGATGGTTTAGGTGGTGCACCATGTTGGGGTTCATATGTAGGGATGAGGGGTTTTCGAGAACTGCCAGCCCCAAACCCTAAAAGCTAAACCCTAACCCCCACACCCTCACACCAACAGCCCCCAGCAGTGAAAAACAAACCTCAAGAGACACCCCCCACCCCCCCCCCCCCCCACTGTTTGTTCCAAAGGTCTAGGATTTAATGTGTTTGGGGTTTAGGGGTAGGGGTTAGGGTTTAATGTTTAGGGTCTAGGGCTTAGGGTTCAGAGTTTAGGAAAGGTTCCTGGCTTCCAGGGTGTGTGCGCTCTTAACCCTTGAAGCCTAAACCCTAAAGCCCTGCTAAGCCTCGAGTAAGCCCCGAAAGCCCGAGAGCTCCGAAGTCCCCAAAAGCCCCCAAAGCCCCCAAAAGCCCCCCCAAAGCCCCGAAAGCCCCCAAAACTCCTAAACCCTAAACCCCAAACCCCCTAAACCCTAAACCCCAAACCCCAAACCCCAAACCCCAAACCCTAAACCCTAAACCCTAAACCCTAAACTCTAAACCCTGAACCCTAAACCCTGAACCCTAAACCGTTAAAGCTCCGAACCCTAAGAGGCCTATGGTGCCCAGTGCGCCACCTTCGCCCTCTACGTACAGCCCTTTGGAGGCCGAGGGGGTCAGAAGTTTAGGGTTTAGGGTTTAGGGTTTAGGGTTTAGGGTTTAGGGGGTTTTACGGTTTAGGGTTTAGGGGGTTTTAGGGTTTAGGGTTTAGGCTTCAGGAGCAAGGAGTGCACTGGGGGGCAGGGGGGTTTTGAAGCACCTCAAGGGGAGGGCTTAGGGCTGAGGGCATCTTACCAAAAAGGGCCATACTAAGCCCAAAACCCCAAAAACCGAAAGACCCAAAACACAAAACCCCAAAGCCCCAAAATCCCTAAAGCCCCAGAACCCCAAACTCCTTCAGGCATCTACATCACCGGAGGTGTGACGAAGAAGATCCGAGAGTGGCTTTTGAAGGAGGGCTCCTTCATGAAGGCCTACTACGACAAAGGCCCGCCCTTCTCCCAAGTAGGTCCGTGGGGTATTTCGGGTTTCCCTTTGATTGGAAGAGGATCTTGTATCTAAGAACATGCTTCAGAGTGATTTAGGGGTGAACCTAGTTGTAGTTGTCCCCTAGGTTGTTTTTGTAGGGTTTTGGCTTGGGGGTGTGACGCCCTCCGTGTTTGGGGCCTTTAGGGTTTCGGGTTGGCTGTTCTGCCAAAATCTCTTCAACAGCCGTGCGGTTGCGAGGGAGCAGCCCCCCCCCGCCCCCGCAAAACATGATGTGTTTTGGGTTCATAGTGTTTACAGGCCCTTAGAGGCCTAAACCCTAAACCACTTGAGGAGAAAAACGATGGCCTTGGATGTCATCCCCCTATACAGGGGTTCCCTATTAGGATCCCCTTATGATAAGGACCCCATTAAGGTGCTCCTTTTTTCGGAAACCCTGAGCTTCAAACCCTAAACCCTAAACCCTAAACCCTAAACCCTAAACCCTAAACCCTAAACCCTAAAACCTAAACCCTAAACCCTGAACCCTAAACCCTAAACCCCAAACCCTAAACCCTAAACGCTAAATCCTAAACCCTAAACCCTAAACCCTAAACCCTAAACCCTAAACCCTAAACCCTAAACCCTAAACCCTAAACCCTAAACCCCAAACCCTAAACCCTAAACCCTAAACCCTAAACCCTAAGCCCTAAGCCCCAAGCCCCTAAACCCCACCTCTGAAAGGATTTACATACGACTTCCCCAGCTCCCTACTGAGAGTCCCCGAGCCGTGTCGAGGGCTGGGGCCGCTTTTCGGGGACCAAAGCCGGCGCCATTCAAGATGCACTTCAGGGTTTCGGGTTTAGGGTTTAGGGTTTAGGGTTTAGGGTTTCGGGTTTAGGGTTTAGGGTTTAGGGTTTCGGGTTTAGGTTTAGGGCTTCGGGCTGAATGTTCTTACAGCCGTAAACCCTCAACCCCAAATCCTGCACCTCTAAGCCCGGACGGGGTCATGGTTGAATTGGCCATCTTGTGGGAGAAGGGTTTAGGACTTATAAAGCCCGAAGCCCTAACTGCTAGGGAACCCTAAACCCCAAACCCCGAACCCCGAACCCTGAACCCTGAACCCTAGACCCTAGACCCTAGACCCTCGACCCTGAACCCTGAACCCTGAACCCTGAACCCTGAACCCTGAACCCTGAACCCTGAACCCTGAACCCTGAACCCTGAACCCTGAACCCTGAACCCTGAACCCTGAACCCTGAACCCTGAACCCTGAACCCAACCTGGTGGAGGCCGGCTCACTCCGGTGTTGAACCGCGTGCCTCTGGTGATCGTCGAGGGCGACGCTGGGCAGATCCGTTTTTGGGAAAACAGATCGTAAGGGGGGGGTGTAGGGTTTAGGGTTTAGGGTTTAGGGTTGAAGGCCGAGTATCTGCAGCGTTTGAAGCTTCGGGGTCTTAGTGGCTCCGGCTTTATGACGCGTGCCGCAGTGACGCGCGCACTGCCATCGGACAAGCCCTGCTAAACTAGAACAATCTGTTTGGAGAAGCATTTTTCTGGTTTCAGGTGGCTCTAGATTCAGCTTACACCCTCCACCTCAATTCCCCCCAGCCCCCTGCCGCAAATCTTAAACCCCAACTCTCTGAACCCTAAACCCGAAACCCTAAACCCTAATTCCTAAACCCTAAACCCTAAACCCTTAACCCTAAACCTTTCAGGACGACATGGGCCAGCGCGGAGCCCATCTTCGTGCGGTGATGCTCTTGAAGCAGGCGGTCAAGGAGCAGGCCCGACGACCCTCAGCTGAAAGAATGGGGTTTAGGGCTTCGGGGAACCCTAAACGCGAAACTCCCTAGCCCTAAGCCCTAAGCCCTAAGCCCTAAGCCCTAAGCCCTAAGCCCTAAGCCCCAAGCCCCAAGCCCTAAGCCCTAAGCCCTAAGCCCTAAGCCCTAAGCCCTAAGCCCTAAGCCCTAAGCCCTAAGCCCTAAGCCCTAAGCCCTAAGCCCTAAACCCTAAACCCTAAACCCTCAACCCTCAACCCTCAACCCTAAACCCTAAACCCTAAGCCCTAAGCCCTAAGCCCTAAGCCCTAAACCCTAAACCCTAAACCCTAAACCCTAACTAACCCTTAAACCTTAAACCCTACACCCTACACCGTGCTGGCTGGAGTTTGTGAGAAGGCTGCGGGGGTGGACTCTGGGGGTTGAGATGTTTAGAACCAGTGGCTTGAAGGTGTTTCTGTAGTCGGGGGCCCTAGGCCCTGAACCCTGAACCTCCAAAATCAGTTGTGGCGATGGGCGCTCAGGATTGTTCGATACACTGGATTTCAACCACGACGGGCTGCTGATGGTGGGTGAGCTGGAGGGCTTGTTTGAAATGTCGGGCGCTGAGCTTTGAGTGATCCGGATCCTCAGCCCTGGAACCCCAGGGCCCTCTTGTTTACCCCAAAGACCAGAGCCCGAAATCTTGCAGAATTCCGATAAACCCTGAACCGTAAACCCTAAACGCTAAGCCCTAAACCTCCCAATGGTGCGTTGTCAAAGCTACGCCCTCCGAACCCGCGCTAAGCGCTCGGCTTCACAGCCCTGAACCCCCTCAAAACCCGGGAGCGTTTGTTTGTTGGGTTGTTTACTGGGCGTTTTGGTGTGTGGGGATGCACAGTGGGGGGTTTAGGGTCTAGATGCCTTTGGGGCTTATAGGGGCCCCAGACGCCAGCGCCCAATTACACCTGAGCCCCTAAAGACCCCTTAATTCTTAGTAGGGAACGGGGGAAAGAAGTACCCTACATCCCTGAAAGGGTATATATACGGGGATGTAGGGTACCTCATTCCCCCCCCCCCCCCCCCATTTCTTTCTAGGAACCAGCCAAAGACTAAAGCCCCCAAACCCCTGAACCCCTAAACCCTAAACTCTAAACCCCTAAAGCCTCTGCCGCCCAGGGCGGGAGACAAAGCTGGAAGGCACAGGCACTGCCGGCCTCATCCCCAACCAACCCCGAAACCCTAAACCCTAGGCCCTAAACCCTAAACCCTAAATCCTAAACCCTAAAACCTGAGCTTTTCTTGGAGCTTGGTTTGTGAGCGTTCGGGCTTATGGGTTTAGGGCCGACCTCCTGGAGCAAACTCCCTGAGTCAGCGCCTGTAACTCCAGTTTAGGGTTTGGCTTCGGGTTTGGCAACTGGGAACTGGGGGGTTGGCCTAAACCTTGGTATGTGGGCTTCCTGTACCCCTCCCCCCCCCCCCAACCCCTAACCCCTAAACCCTAAACCTTAAAACCCTAAAAACCTAAACCCCAAACCCCAAACCCCACACCCCAAACCCCAAACCCCAAACCCCAAACCCCAAACCCCAAACCCTAAACCCCAAACCCCAAACCCCAAACCCCAAACCCCAACCCCCAAACCCCAACCCCCAAACCCCAAACCCCAAACCCTAAACCCTAAACCATAAACCCTAAACCTTAAACCCTAAACCCTAAACCCCCCCTCCCCACCCTTTCTTCTCTTCACAGAAAAGGGTCCCGACCTTGGAACGGCCCCTCGACTCCGAAACTCTCTGGTCTCACCCACCCAGCCTATGCTCGAAACCCTAAACCCCACAAGGTCTAATGCCCTAAGCCCTGAACCCCAAAGCCCCAAAGCGCTAAAGCCCTAAAGCCCTAAAGCCCTAAAGCCCTAAACCCTAAACCCTAAACCCTAAACCCTAAACCCTGAACCCTAAAGCCCCAAAGCACACCCCTTCCAACGGCATGACAGGCAAGAGCTGGCCATCAAGTTGCTGCAGGAGCCCCTTGCTTTGGTGCCTTTCTTCTGACTGGCAGGGTTTAGGGTTTAGGGTTTAGGGTTCAGGGTTCAGGGTTCAGGGTTTAGGGTTTAGGGTTTAGGGTTTAGGGTTTAGGGTTTAGGGTTTAGGGTTTAGGGTCTAGGGTCTAGGGTTTAGTGTTTAGGGTTTAGGGTTGTAGAGGCTTGAGCTTTAGAGCTCCGAGCCCTGTGGCCTCGTCTCCCCCAGCACTTCAAGCATCCTTCAACGCCTACCCTGAAAGAACGCTAATTGCAATTTTAGGGTTTGGGGTTTAGGGGGTTTAGGGGGTTTAGGGTGTAGGGGGTGTAGGGGGTTTAGGGGGTTTAGGGGGTTTAGGGGGTTTAGGGGGTTTAGGGTTTAGGTCGTTTGGATTAAGCATAGGTTGCTGAACAGTTTTCATTTTTTATTATTTTTTATGGGGGGGGGGGGGGTGAGTCAAAATCAATCCCTCCAAGCAACCCCAAGTCCATTGCCAGAGGAGCTGGACGACAACAAGGACGGCAGGGTGCCCAGTTGCCCTTTTCTGGGTTCAGGGTTTAGGGTTTAGGGTTTAGGGTTTAGGGTTTAGGGTGTCTTGACTTGAAACCAGGGCACTCATCTAAGGGGGCTTGAAGGATTCAGAAGTAGGATGTGTCGAGGGTTTTTTGGGTAACCCATACACCCTAAGCCCTAATGAACCCAGACTTCGGCTGGTACCAGCGCGCGCGCGCTGAGGGCATCTCGATTTCGAGGAGTTCCTCAAGGGCTACGCCAAGCTGCCCACGAAGATGATCTCCGCCGCGCGGCACCACCCCTAAGTCCTAAACCCCCTTGAAGGGGTTAGGGTTTAGGGTTTTAGGGTTTTAGGGTTTTAGGGTTTAGGGTTTAGGGTTTAGGGTTTAGGGTTTAGGGTTTAGGGTTTAGGGTTTAGGGTAGTTCAGGGGTTTAGGGTTTAGGGTTTACGGTTTAGAGTTTAGGGTTTAGGGTTTAGGGTTTAAAAGTCTAGAAGGGAATGTCAGTAACGGTCGATGGCGCGTGAGATGCTTCCGGATCTGGGTCAAGTTGGCCTAAACCCTAAACCCTGGAGGGTGCGGATCTTTGACGAGCTTTCGTCCTAAATCCGCGGTGAAAGCCTATAAGATCTAAACGGCCCTAAACCCTAAGCCCTAGACCAAGCCCACAAACGGGTGGGTGAAACTGTGCTGACAGCAAAAGATCCTTGTCTCGTCTGCCGGGCATCGTCCCTTTGTCTGAGTGCCGAGGCCCCACCCCAAAGGCCCCGACGCCTGAAGCCTCAACCCTGAAAGCCTAAAGCCTAAAGCCTAAAGCCACATGACCTTTACATGCTAATGGCCGAAACCCTAAACCCTAAACCCTAAACCCTAAACCCTAAACCCTGAAACCCTGAAACCCTGAAACCCTGAAACCCTGAAATCCTCAAGCATTAAACAGCCCCACAACCCCAAGCCACAAGAGAGCCCAAACCCTCAAAGACCCTAACGCCCCACCGCAAAAAGCTGTAAACCCTTAGCCGGGTTTGGGGCTTTGGGGAGGAATACCTAAGAAGCTCTCATGGGGTTTATAGCAGTGGCCAAGAACTTCTACAACAAGTGCGGCCGACGGCTGCTGGTTTATGGTTGAAGGTGTAGGTAGCATTTGGGGTTCGGGAGCCCGTGATGACAGTCCTGGTGTTCTATGGCTGAGGGTGATGGGCAGGGTTGCGCGGACTAGGCTCTTTGTGCAGGCTCTTGGGTGTGTATGGCGGAGGAAGACGCAGTGAGTTGATTTCGGGAGGGCGCCATCTTGGGAGTAGAGGGCCCTAACCTATCCAAACCCTAAACCCCAATAACCCTACGCGTGCACGTGTGACTGGCTTTTAGAACCGCGAAACCCTGACCCTAAACCTTCATCCCGAGCCCTCAACCCTAAACCCGTAAACCTGAGTGTGAATGTTCCCCCATGTTCCCCCTTATACTGACAGTCATCTGAGGAGTCTCCCTTCCTGCACTCGCACAGGGAGGCCCCCGCTTTTGTGCTCTGTGAGGGTGGACTCGCAAGGGGTGTTCGGGGCATCTCTTGCAATTCAGGAGCCTCAAAAAGTACCAGGATGTTGTATCCCCTATCTGTTATATACATAAGTGTATATATATATATATATATCTACATATATATGTGTGTATATGTATTATATCAGATACACACTTCCCACAACTCCGATTCCACTTGAATAGGCCAGTCAAGGAGTTCCTGAGGACTTGGCATGTTCTTCTGAGTTTTCTCTTCCGGATGTGGCTCTTCACTCTGGTTCGTGCCTTCGCCTTTCCCCCCCCCCCCCCCCCCGACCCAAGCGGGGTAAAGGGTTTAGGGTTTAGGGGTTTAGGGTTTAGGGTTTAGGGCAACCCAATGCTGAAGTGCCCCAGGGTAACCTGACAGGCATGAGCGTCACATCCCTGCTTCCCCCCTCCCCAAGCGCGTGGGATGCTTTCTGCTTGGGACCTGTATTGGGCTTCGGAGCATCAGTTGTATGTAGGAAGCCTTTTTATAAAGGGCCCCAAGGGCCAACTGAAACCCGAGAGCCTAAACCCTAAACCCTAAACCCCAAACCCTAAGCCCTTTAATCATTCCGAAACCATATCGCCTTTCCCTTCTTTTTGCCGACTCAAAGGGCCACCCTCTTTAGGGTTTAGGGTTTAGGGTTTAGGGTTTAGGGTTTAGGGTTTAGGGTTTAGGGTTTAGGGTTTAGGGTTCAGGGTTTTAGGGTTTTAGGGTTTAGGGTTTAGGGTTTAGCCACCCTCTTCAGGAATCGTTTTCAGAGAGCTCAGTGGGCCGACCTGTGACGAAAACCCCTACACCAGTGCCGAGATCCCATGTATCAGGGTTCCAGGTTTCGGGTTTTGGGTTCAGGGGTAGGGTTTAGGGGTCAGGGTTCAGGGTTTAGGGTTTAGGGTTGAGGGGTATACACTATAAACCCTAAGCCCCGAAAACCCCCAAGCCCTACACCCTATTCCCTAAACCCTTAACCCTTAACCCTTGACCCTTAACCCTTAACCCTTAACCCTTAACCCTTAACCCTTAACCCTAAACCCTAAACCCTAAACCCTAAACCCTAAACCCTAAACCCTAAACCCTAAACCCTAAACCTAAACCCTAAATGGCGCGTGGCAGGAGCCGAAGATGGACCGATCGGAGCTGGTCTCACCGCCCGATCGCGGCAACGACGTCGACAGCCAGGCGGCCCTTGCCAAGGCCTGTGCGGGACTCTCGCAGCAGAGGATCATTTTGGGTTTAGGGTTTAGGGTTTAGGGTTTAGGGTTAAGGGTTAGGGTTTAGGGTTTAGGGTTTAGGGTTTAGGGTTTAGGGTTTAGGGTTTAGGGTTTAGGGTTTAGGGTTTAGGGTTTAGGGTTTAGGGTTTAGGGTGTAATGAGGGTTTAGGGTTTAGGGTTTAGGGTCTGGAACTTTTGGGGTTAGGCTATTTTGGGAGTTTTTGAGGGTTGGTGAAGTTTCGGACTGTGCAAATCCCGAATATTCTTGAACAATATTGGGGGTGACCCTGCAAAGACGTGGGGAACCGAAGAATTAGCCTCAGGGTACCCTGGTGATGGAACAATGGTACTGCTTTTGCAGTTCATCCAGCTCTGTTCCTCCTGTTCTCTTGCTCGTGTCTGCTGCTGCCAGTCTAGACCAGAAGAGTTCCAAAGGAGCTTCTCAAGCCATCTGCCACGACAACTAATTGAGATGGCCCGTTTGGGTAATAAGCTTGTAGTCCGACCTTCGAGTCCTTCAGGCAAGCAGCCAGCGGTTTCAGGTTGTTTTGATCCACTGTCTCATTGATGCCCTCCGTAGGGGGTGTTTCATGATCTATCAGCTGAGGGTCTTGACATGCTTTTGTAAACATCAAGCTGGACCACAAGTGGTTTAGGCGCAAAATGAGCGCAGGTTTCAGGTGTGCTTGGCTTATAAGGTCAAGTTGCTCACGGTATGGCGAAGCGGAAAGCCGGGAGTTTCGCATCTTAGCTTGTAGTTTGGGTTCGGGGTTCCGTTGTGCAGTAACCGACCCCCCAAAACGGGTACCCTTGTTATAATATGCCTGCTGGGCTTCGAAGCCCACAAGGTCAGGGTTTCAGGTCAGGGCTTTCCGGGACCTAGACTGCTCTTGGAAATCGGTTGAAGCTCTTGGTTCTTTTGACTGAAAAAGGCCCATGAAATTGGCTCCTAAAGGGTGGTCTTAAGGCACTTCAGCGACCCTAAACCCCGAAACCCGACGCTCTAAATACCAACCCTACGTTGAGGGTTTAGGGTTTAGGGTTTACTAGGATGGCCAGTAGTGCCCTTATTCCCTTTTTGGGGGGTTTAGGTTCCCTTATAAACCCCTTTAAAGCAAAAAGGGTACCCTTTTTAAGCCTCGGTTACTGGGCAGCCTAGCTTAGGGTTGCCCTAGACCCGACAAGCGTGCAACCGAATCGGCACCCCTCCTTCGGCGCCACAGGAGCTGCAAAAGTACCAGAGCCGTTCCCGCCGGGAGAAGATCGATCCTTTCAAGGCAGCTGTCAAGTGTCGATTGAAGAGGCTTTGGGGTTCAGGGTACTCGGGGTGAGGTGATGTAGTTTAGGGTGTGTTGAAGCAGGTCGGCTTTAGAGCCGAAAGGCCTGGACCTCTTCTTCCATCCTCCACCCTATGCGGGAGCCTTACATTCTACACTGCCCTCAATCAAGAGCGACCCCCAAACCCTGAGCCCTGAGCACCCGGCTCCTTGGAACCATTGGCCCTTAGTGGGATGTGAAGGGATCCGAAGTATGGGCTCTTATTATGCATGGTGTATATAAGGGTCATATAACAAGGGACCCAAATTAAGGGCCATACTTTGGATCCCTCATCCACTGTCAGCCCGCCCACCCCCTCTCCCTTCCGGCCGGTCGGAGGATGACAATGCACCAGTTTTCCAGACCAGGCCTGTGCCAGTCCTGCTTCGGGCGTATGAGGGCTCACAGTAGCTTATCGGGTTTTGAGGATTCACGGGCTTATTATGGGGTTTTGTAGGGTTTGTGGTTTGTAGGGCTTAGAGGATTCATGGGTCTTATAGGGTTCCTGCGTTCCAGGGGCTTTTTCGAGCGGTTTGAGATAGGAGCAGGGACGCAGGGTTTGCTCGGGAGCCGCAAAAGTCGCTGTTAGTTTCGGGTTGAGTGCTTTGGGGGTTTCGGGCTTACGGTGCTAAAGACCCCCGGGTCTCCCCGGGTCTATCAAGCATGAAGAGATGCGCGCAGGCTTTTCAAGCTTCTCGTAGACTGCGACCGCACGGAGGAGGAGCCAGGGGGCAAGCAGGGGCGGATCTCCAGGGTTGAAGGATTGAGGACTTGGAGACCCTAAACCCTAAACCCTAAACCCTAAACCCTAAACCCTAAACCCTAAACCCTAAACCCTAAACCCTAAACCCTAAGCCTGCTACCCCCTACCGTTTTCGAGATCCAGGATTTGCCCAGGCCCGTAAAGTCTTGCAATCGAAAAGCAGGGGCCGGCCGAGGCCCCCGCTGCCCCCTACCTCTTTGCTGCTCTGTTGGCTACATGAAGCCCCGAGATCCAGGATTTGCCCAGACCCGTAATGAAAAATGTGGGTTTTTTAGTATTGCAAATCGACGGTTTTGGGCACCCTCCATTTTAAAAATTTTACTCCGTGAAAGCTCCAAGAAGCCTACAAGCCACTGACCGGCTCCACAAAGCTCGGGAGGCCCCACCCTGCTCTTTCTCTGTAAAAAGCAAAAAAGCCCCCCTTGAGGGGGTTTGGGGGGTGAACCCTAAACCCTAAATGAGAATAGTTTGGGTGGTTGGGGTGGGACTACATGCTAACGCAAGCGAGCGGCCCGGGTGCCTTTAGCACCAGCGAGCTTCCCTTCTATACACCCTAAACCCTAAACCCTAAACCCTAAACCCTAAACCCTAAACCCTAAACCCTAAACCCTAAACCCTAAACCCTAAACCCTAAACCCTAAACCCTAAACCCTAAACCCTAAACCCTAAACCCTAAACCCTACTTTCGGAAACCCCTAAATCTTACATACCCTATAGCCCTCTAGAATGGGATGCCCAGGATGCATGGGTGCCTCGGATGTATTGGGTGAGCAACGAAGGCCTGCCTTCCCTTGGCAAGGGTTTAGGGTTTAGGGTTTAGGGTTTAGGGTTTAGGGTTTAGGGTTTAGGGTTTAGGGTTTAGGCTTTAGGCTTTAGGCTTTTGGGTTTTGGGTTTTGGGTTTTGGGTTTTGGGTTTAGGGTGTAGGGTTTAGGGTTTATGGTTTCTTACACTTCCTCAGCGCCCTGAATACCAAGCTTTTGAAACCCCATAGAGCCTGACCCCCAAACCCTAAACCCTAAACCCTAAATCCTAAACCCCAAACGTACCCTAAACCAAGGTTCTCGTTTGGGGGGGGGGGGGGGGGGGGGGGGGGGCAAGAGCAAGCCTTTCCATGCCCCCGAACCTTAAGTCTTAGCCCCGAGGGTGGAAGGGCTTAGGAGTGCGAGGGGTTAATGCGTTCGGGGGACTTAGGGACAAAATGGTTTTAAGGCTTAGGTTGTTTAGGTTGTTTGTTTCTTTGTCGAGAAATTTTGGGGCTTAGGTCTTTGCGGGCTTGGTCTAAGGTGGTTGAAGGGTTGAGGGTGCCAGCGGTATCATGGAGTGGGTTTGGGGGTCAGGGTTACATGCAGTGGGTAACGCATGCAGGTGGCATTTGCTACCACAGCGTCACTGAGCAGCGAAGCCGCAGCAGTGTTCAGGGTTCTGGTTGTCCAGGTTTCTGCATCGGCCGGCTTTTGTCGGCACTCGAGTCCTTCCTGCGGAACCCTAAACCCTTCCCTAAACCCTGAACCCGAAATCCTAAGCCCTAAATCCTAAGCTAAACCCTAAGCCCTGTCAATGGCTAAGGAATCAGGCACTGAAGTTCCTTGACAAAGATGACGTCGCGACGATGCATGTCGAGCAGCTCCCGAATGATGAGAAAACAGCATGCCGGGGTTCTCAGATGCCGGGTTTAGGGTTTGGGGTTTGGGGTTTAGGGTTTAGGGTTTAGGGTTTGGGGTTCGGGGTTTAGGGCACCTGGGACTATGGGCTTGATTTTGACTAGTTCCCTTTTTGCAAGCGCTCCTGGCTCTTTGCCGAGGCAAGATGCATCGCTTCCGAATCCAGCCGTCCTTCCGGCAAGGTATCCCCGCACCGGCCACGGAGTTTGCACCCGCCTCGGCATGCCACGACGCTTTTAGCAAAGGGTCCACACCGGGTTAGGGCCTAGGGGTGTCGGCGCTTGCGATTTCTGCTGCTGAGGCAGCTCCCTCTGCGGACATTCTGGCGCAACTTGCTGGCAGTTGAACCATTTCCTAAACCTACACCCTAAACCCTAAGACCCTGAACCCGAAGCACTAGGCCCCAAATTGAGCAGTCAACGGCTGCGCGGACAAGACGCTCGTGGGGGGTGCGCAAGGCTCTGGATGATCGAGCTGGCAGCCCTTCAGAAGAAGGCGGAACTTTCTGCAGTTGTCTCAGAACATGCCTATATAAACCCCAAACCCTAAACCCTAACACCTGAACACTGAACCCTAAATCCTAAACCCTAAACCCTAAACCCTACACCCTAAACCCTAAACCCTAAACCCCTAAACCCCTAAACCCCTAAGCCCTCAGCCCTAAGCCCTAAACCCCACACCCAAAGTGGCCTGTTTGTTCTGCAAGGCGCTTGAGCGCGAAGAGAGCTCGAAGACCGAAAAAACCGCATAGCTCTTCCCGCTGGCGCGTGCCAGCACCATGTGGCCAGTTCTCTAGACTGTGCTCCCTTTTTCGGGTCCGCACCCCAAATATGAGGGCCCGTGTTACATGAGGGGCAAAAGGGACCATAACGTAGAGACCTGGCCATGTACATCTACTCTGCAGATTGATGCTTGACAGCAGGGCAGAGATCGTTTTTTCTTGATGGCTGGCCTGGGACAGTACCCGCGTGCTTCCTTGCCAGCAGCTTCTCTCGCTTTCCTGGCAGATGAAACAATCCCAAACCCTAACCCTAAGCCCTAAGCCCTAAGCCCTAAGCCCTAAGCCCTAAGCCCTAAACCCTAAACCCTAAACCCCTAAACCCCGAAACCCCTAAACCCTAACCCTAAACCCTAAACCCTAAACCCTAAAAAAAACGGAGTCTCTGGGAGTCATCCAGCTGGGCAAGTTGCCGGAGCAGCAGATTGTTTTAAGCGTAGCAAAGAAGGCGAACTGCTCTCGGCCGCCGCCTGGAAAACGGCATAGGCCGACCCAATATTCCTTGGTAGGCCCTTGGGACATTTCACATTCCTCTTCTTTTGGTTTACGAGGATCATAATTCAAGAATGTTTTTTTTTTTCAGGGTTTTTGATCGCCTGCAGGGCTTCTCGCAAATCCTGAGTGAAGATGAGCCGTAGTGTGTGCCACACGCAGGGTAGGCGACCTGACGACAAGCGAACCCAACTTCACGGAGCGACGTGAATCGCCGTAGCGGTGTTTTAACAAAACTGGATGCTGCTCTCCCCAAGGGAACGATGCAAACACAAATTGACGACAGGACCAGATGTGCACTTGGCGATCAAGCCCAACACACGGGTGGGTGTAACTG